TCTTTCTGAAATTACATAATTACATCCCAGAGTACTTGCAGCAAAGGCATTTAATTTAAGTGTTGTAAAATTCATTAATAATTCATGACTTTAAGAACCAATGAAAACTCGGCATTTAGATCACATGTGACCGCCTGTAATCAACAATAAAGGTCGACTACCTGAAAGCCCGGGGAGGGTTTGAAAATGTAGCAGGGAAAGGCTGGGGTTGATGAATTACGCAAACCATATCCCAATCAATATTATTAACTYTTATAAAGATCTCTAACTCAACTAATTAGTATGCGTAACTTTTATAATGAATAAAGAGGCATTTTCATGGTTCTACAGGTTTTATTGATAAAAATCTTACTTATTTATTTACACCAAAAGTTAATACTGCAATTGTTAAAGACTGAGCTTTCACAAACCTTATTAGTAATGTTATTCCGTGTCTCATTTTCTGGCATCTCAATAGCGGATAATAAATCATTGGATAAGTCAAATTCAGTGGAATAAAAATCGAGAATATCACTGACATCATTCGCTACAGTTGTCTTTGGTTGATCAATTGCACTACTTGAAGCAACTGGCCCTAAAAGGTGCTTACTTTATCTAACTGTTTTTCGCGTTTGATTTATGCCCAGTTCTTTCMCTCGCTAATTTCTYCTCGACAGAGTGMTGGAATAATCGACTAGCACAAGTGATGCGCAAACATCTATTATGTATATTTCCAATATTATGACACTTATGCTCAATGAAACGAGGCTTATTCTTCAAATCTTTCAAGCCACCGTGAAACGTTTTGGACAAGCTTTCATCAAAGATAATAAGATTGCCTATAACATATATATTACAAAGCCTTAGTAACCTATGTTCTYCAGGTCGGAGGCCAAATAACTTCCCATTATAAAAATATATAGTATTTAATTATGACTCAGCTGATTGTCCCCGAGAAGGCCTTTCTGCCACAATATTTCCTCTTCATCCTCRGTTATTTCTTCGCGTCCTTCTGAGCTATTCCACATTTCGTTGCATCCTTCATCTCTGCGTCTAAAACTCTCTGAAACACTCCGAACCTGAAAATMAAAAAAAATGGGATTATCAGCGAAATATATAATCAAATGTATTTTAAGACAAATATTCATAAAAAGATAAGAAGTGCTTGCCTCTTGTCAGCTTTATTAAGAGGCTGTGCCTGTTAGATTCGAGCAAAGTTGGAAATAGCCCAGAAATCGCCCTACCTCAAACTTTGTATCAACAAAGCCTATCATCCAATGCACCTAAAAGTGAAGTTTGTTTTAGAAAAAAAAATTCCTTCAATTTTTGAACGCGAAAAAACAAAACAGTGTTTTTTAGAGTAAACAATCTTAAAAAAAGTGTCCGAAACACTGTGTGAAGTGTGAAGTAGGTGACATTTAATGACCTATTAACCGATATAGTATTGTTGACTCTGAAAAGCCGATTATATTTTCTTAATCCTCTATATTTTCTTAATCCTCTTTCTATCAAAAAAAATCCGTGGGCAACTTTATTCTTGGTCATCTTGCAGATATTTTTTCCCAGAGTAACGCATTGGATGTTGACGGAGTGTTGTGTTTGTAGCAGCGAGTGCCTCATGGCCAAGAGCTCTTTCACGTTGTCTATGTTGATCAGCTTCCTCGTCAGATAAAGATACATCTTTCACTATTGCTGAAAGGCGGGAAAAAAAGGACTGTATCTGCTGTGGCCGTAGAAACTCACCTACTGTAAAAACACGCTCCCCACTCTCATTTTTCAAAAGTCTCTTTAGCCACATCTCCGGTGCGCTTACACCCTGTTTGTTCTCCTTCAAAAAACTTCTTTTTCATGTAATCTTTTTGTTTCTCGGTGAAGCGCTTCCGTGTACGACCAGCTTCATGGAAAGCCCATCCTTCTGTCACCGGTTTGTAGCCTACATCAGTTGAGATGCTGTCTACATCAGTTGAGGTGCTGTGTGGCAATGTGACGCTCCCTTCTGCGCCTGTTTCTAATCGTTCAGCGTAACCAATCTTGGCTTTGTCAATTAAGCATCGCTTCTCTAGTTTGTACTCATGTTTACCAAATGTTAGGTGTTGCTGGAGCCTGTTGTACGTTATGTATGACTTAACACAACCATCCTCTGTACAAGCGAATAAGCTGCTGGTCTCTGTTGTCTCTTCGGTATGGTCATTTTCCTCGGCAAGGACAGGATCAGGATGAGGATCAGTTCTACGTGTAGTTTTAGGCTTACTTCTGCTTTTAACTGGGATGAATTCCCCTTGGCTTATCTGGTCACATAAAATCCACGGAAGCTTTTTGATCTCATCTATGGCTAAAAATGGAAAAGTATAAAAGGAATGTAAATGGCTTTTGTAATAGCCAGTAAAAGTACTTATGAAGTGGTGCACTATATATTGACATAATAATGGAATTCAATTGTTCAGTTTATTAGTATCCATCAAAATAAAAAGCTCTGCCCCAGTACATGTGTCCTAAGGTCTCCCATACCTTCAAAATCTGACCACTTCCAAKACTTTCCCTTTCCGACTTGGTACGCTTTGAAAGCTTTCACACCGTTCTTTGTGAAGACGAAGTTGAAAAGTGTGCTGATCCCTTCTAATTTCAAATCTTCAAAAGCAATTAATTTAGACTTGGATGGTGAYTTAACCAATGCTGCGCGAACCCCTGGTATTCCTCCATGGGATAATATCGCTGTTTTCATCTCTGTGGGTGTGGTGACAGAGTGGCCCTCGTTGATGTAAGTGTTGATGTGATACTTTATCTGTGACCCTTTCCTGTCACAGGGACCCTTCCCTCCCTGGGGATCACAGAAATCAAGCTGTTTCAAATCTAGACCTGTTCGCTCTCGTAAAACCTTGCAGGCCAACACGGTAAGTACACTATGGTAACAACCTGCGTTGTCTTGGCGGTAAAACACATGTTGAAGTGCAGGGTTTTCCTTCTTTAGGACTTGTAGTACGTGTTCCATTAACGTTACAATAGTTTTGCTATCTTGTGCTCTGGACTCAATCAGGTGCACAAAGGTCTGTGCTAATAGCTCACCATTCACTTTCGTCATACATACGGTTATATGCCAGGACATCCCGCGCTTGCCAAAAAATTCGGTCTGTGCTTCTCTGAACTGCCTCGGAAGGAATTTCATGGCGAAATCTTGGAAAATCAGAASAGAATCATCATCAAGATTGTCCATTATGTCTACCMGGGCATCATCTTGGTGGACCATTCTTAGCTGGTGTGACTTCCACGCAAGTATGTTGTCGTACGCAGTTTGAGCAGTAAATATGGCATCGTCTCTGATATCAGTGGGAAGATTCATAGWCTTGGCTTCTGACAAAATGAAGTCAAGAACCTGTGAAAAGGAACCATTTTATCAATTTCCGCTCGTTTAAAATGAATAGTTCACTGACAACTTTTTACATAACCTGCTGTATTGTAATGAAACGGCATATCTCTGCTAGCTGTAGCTTTGTACAGCTAGCAGAGATGTGCTTATAATGCTTCTTTAGCCCAGAAAGTGTGTCAAGCAAATGTAAAAATAAATGGACTGCCTGTGGAATAGCAATAGCATATATAAAATTTGTATTTGAAAATACCTGTTTCAAAGTTTCACATCTTTGACAAAAATGATCGTGCTTGTGCTTACATTTCTTATCGAAATGCGTTTTCTTTGGATCGCTCAAGGCAAACACCCTACAATGATCTGGAACGTTGTTATYGATTGTGGACTGAACCTGAAATGTAATATACAATTATTCGAAATAGAAGGGAATGATGCCAAGGCAACTTTTGTTCATTTAGTAAATTGATTAAATTACTAGTTCTCACTGAATATCAAATACATTATAAGTAGCTTGGATATAACGTACGCACTAATTGGCTAAGAATCGTGCTATATAGCACTAATTAATGTTTTTGTTATATTAGAATATCATTTGTGTTGTAATTAGGAATGGCTCGCACGTGCATCGTATTTATAATATATAATTTCCTTGTAATCCCCTTTTGATGTATTGCTTCAACAGCAGCAGTTGATCTTTTGTCTTAGTAACTGTGCCCTCGTTCAAACCGTACGCAGATAGAGTTTCCAGCAATTCACTGAGATCATCGAAAGCGCGAGCACCATCAGCCGCGTATGTGTCAAGAYCTTGCAGGCTTTTTCTTACAGAGGCCAAACAAGACTCAGACAACAGTCTGAATAAGCTACGTCTTGATAGTGGTTCGAAACTATTATCTTTGCAATACTGCTGGTACTGCTCAATCAGTCGTGTGGGTATCAGTGTGCGTATTACATTTGGTATCTGTATTTCTGTCTTGTTAGATAATTTAAGTGTTCGTTGTCCAAAAGGAAGGTCTTGTACGATATTTGATGCAGTAATGAAGTTGAGAAAGTGCTCCAACTTTTGGGGGTCAACCCTGTCCCTTACTTTCCTATCTGGTGTCTCTACTGGCTGGCCA